TATTTTACATTTAAATTAATTTTCAGATTGCTCATTGGAGAAATCAATAATTTCATATGGTTTTTAAAATATTTGAAATTAGAAAAAAATTTAGAATTTCAAAATTAATTGTTAAAAGTGTAATAAAATCGTATTGCTCATCTTTTTTTCACTATTAAATTTGAGAGGTTTTAGGGCGAGTTAAAGAAAATACTAGGAAGAAAGTTGCTCGCCAAAGGTAATTCGGTAGGAGAAATTACTTAACTCTCGGATGATACATAAATTAAGTTGAAGTCGTAAAAGGGTCTGGTATAGTCGAGCAGCCAGTTAGCGTGAGGGTGCCCCAGGGGGCTGTACAGCCCCCAAGAACCATGGTGCCATGGCCGAAGTGTCCGTGCTCTACTCTCAACCCTTTACGATGCTATGCCACTGCCTAATAGAATTACCCTCTGAGCTAAAGTTAGTTGAAGCTAGATTGAAATCGCCGTCACATTTTTAGCTTTTATAACCATCTCAATTATATTCCTTCTTCTTGCCATATATAGTCTACATTTTACACAAGATATTTTTCTGAAAAAAATATCTTTCAATTAAATATAATATATATGCGATAAATACTTCACTTTTAAATTCATTTTAGAATTTTGTATTTATAATTCTATATTGAAAAAATTATAATATATACATTTTTCTTAATTCTCGTGCGAAATTATTCGAGACTGAGTTACACACGAGGATTTCTATGATAATTCCCTCACATAATCGTCGCCCTTTGATGGGGTTGAGTTATAGAAAGGGACGTTCCTTGCCATAAGTCACGTGAATCACGAAATATGTTCTCTGATCCACGCCCATCTTGAGCTTGAATCCCCTGATAATTGGGATTATCTACTAATTTTTCTTTGCATCAAATTTTTTTTTATCCCTTATATATAATAAAAAAAAAAACAGAGTTAATTTTGCACAAATTAACAAAAAAAAAAGAAAAAATTATATCCATCTTTCTACAACTGGGAAATAAAAATAGAAAAAATGGCAATCGACTTTGAAAAACATGGCGCATCCCGCACGTTCTTATTTATTCCCGTCTAAAATCTCATTCGGTTGAAATATCAGGTTATACCCGACGGAACGTGCATTCTCGGTATGATTTTTCATTAAAGTGTCTCCCGCAACTGAGATATGACCGGGACATTGAATGTAGCGGCTCCCATGAGTGTGACGAAGAACACTTTATGGTAGTTGTTGCAAGTCAAAGAAAGATAGCGAGTGACTATATTCCGTACAATATTGTGGCTTGATATATTACTGGCGCAGTTTTCCCACGAGTGCGATAAAGACACACGGGGTATATATATATATATATATATGTTCTCTGCACCGTATATACACGAAGAGAAATGGCGGACGGTTTACGTGTTCTTTCTTTACCTGTAACATCTTCTGACGTCTCAATACGTAATTACAAGTGACTAGCTTTCTTATATGTATATGTATGAATATACAAAACAACAAAAGTTCTCTCATCATCATGAGTGAAATAAAATATTCTTGAATTTGTCCTTTGTAGTTAATTTCAATTTTTTGTATTGGTCAATAATATAAATGTGCAAGGGGAGATGGAAAATTTATCCAAAATTCTTTATTTGTGACAGAATTTCTGATTGACACAAATTCATGTAATCGAATTGTCAATCAACAGAATTGTTACTAAACCGAACTTTTTTTTTCATATAGAATTGCTAGCATTTCACTGAATTTACTGAACATGGAATTTTTATTTATCCGAATTGTCATTTAACCGAATTTGTGTCTGTCCGAATTTCCATGCATTTAACAGAATTTTTGCACTAATCCGAAGTGTCAATAATATTTTCTATTTGTAGAATTTCCATTTAACCGAATTTACTTTACATGGAATTTTTATTTATCCGAATTGTCATTTGACCGAATTTGTTTCGGTTCGAATTTCCATTTAACAGAATTTTCACCAATTCCAATTGCCATTTAATAGTACCTAATTTTGTACAATTGCCATTTAACCGCATTTTATTACAATGACATTTTTATTTATCTGAACTGTCATATAACCTAATTGTCATTAGACCGAATTAGCTTTTGTCAGAATTTCCGTTTAACAGAATTGTCACTAATTGCTATATTTAATAGTATTTTCTTTTTGTAGAACTGCCATTTAACCGAATTTACAGTACATGGAATTTTTATTTATTCAAAGTGTCATTTAGCCGAATTGTCATTCGAACGAATTTGTTTCGGTCGGAATTTTCATTTAACAGAATTGTAACTAATTCCAATTGCCATTTAATAGTACCTCCTTTTGTACAATTGCCATTTAACCGCATTTTATTACATGACATTTTTATTTATCTAAGCTGTCATATAACCTAATTGTCATTAGACGGAATTAGCTTTTATTAGAATTTCCATTTAACAGAATTGTCACTAATCCGAATTGCTATATTTAATAGTATTTTCTTTTTGTAGAACTGCCATTTAACCGAATTTACAGTACATGGAATTTTTATTTATTCAAAGTGTCATTTAGCCGAATTGTCATTCGAACGAATTTGTTTCGGTCGGAATTTTCATTTAACAGAATTGTAACTAATTCCAATTGCCATTTAATAGTACCTCCTTTTGTACAATTGCCATTTAACCGCATTTTATTACATGACATTTTTATTTATTTGAACTGTCATATAACCTAATTGTCATTAGACGGAATTAGCTTTTATCAGAATTTCCATTTAACAGAATTGTCACTAATCCGAATTGCTATATTTAATAGTATTTTCTTTTTGTAGAACTGCCATTTAACCGAATTTACAGTACATGGAATTTTTATTTATTCAAAGTGTCATTTAGCCGAATTGTCATTTGACCGAATTTGTTTCGGTCGGAATTTTCATTTAACAGAATTGTAACTAATCCAAATTGCCATTTAATTGTATTTCCTTTTAGTATATATAATTGACAATTAACCGAATTTACATTACATGGAATATTTATTTATCCGTATTATCATTTAGCCGAATTGTCATTTGACAGAATTAGCTTTTGTTAGAATTTCCATTTAACAGAATTGTCACTAATCCGAACTGCTATATTAATTAGTATTTTCTTTTTGTAGAACTGCCATTTAACCGAATTTACAGTACATGGAATTTTTATTTATTCAAAGTGTCATTTAGCCGAATTGTCATTCGAACGAATTTGTTTCGGTCGGAATTTTCATTTAACAGAATTGTAACTAATTCCAATTGCCATTTAATTGTATTTCCTTTTAGTATATATAATTGACATTTAACCGAATTTACATTACATGGAATATTTATTTATCCGTATTATCATTTAGCCGAATTGTCATTTGACAGAATTAGTTTTGTTAGAATTTCCATTTAACAGAATTGTCACTAATCCGAATTGCTATATTTAATAGTATTTTCTTTTTGTAGAACTGCCATTTAACCGAATTTACAGTACATGGAATTTTTATTTATTCAAAGTGTCATTTAGCCGAATTGTCATTCGAACGAATTTATTTCGGTCGGAATTTTCATTTAACAGAATTGTAACTAATCCAAAATGGCATTTAATTGTATTGCCTTTTAGTATATATAATTGACATTTAACCGAATTTACATTACATGGAATATTTATTTATCCGTATTATCATTTAGCCGAATTGTCATTTGACCGAATTAGCTTTTGTTAGAATTTCCATTTAACAGAATTGTCACTAATCCGAATTAATAGTATTTTATTCTTATGGAATTCGGTAAAAAAAATTTTGTTAAGAGACAGTTAACAAAACTAATTTATATTATTATTAATAAAATATAAAATACTGTTAAACATCAATTTGGTTAAATGACAATTCGATGAAAGAAATAATGGTTAAATTAACTTTGTAATTCGATGATTGAAGGTGATAAATTATTATTTATCGAACTATAGAGAAAAATAGAATATAGGGAATATTTTGAAAGATTTTTTTTTAGTTGTAAGGAATTATTAACAGGAAATGGTTTATTTGAAAAAGAAATTCTAATATATATATATATATATATATATGTTATTAACAATATGGTAAAGATAGATGATATTTTGGTATATATGTCAATCAACAAGGAAAAAAAGAATGACTAGAAGTAGTTGAGAATAGAATACGGAAGAGGCACTTGACTTTCCCATTTCCTCTGTAAACTCACGCTGGTATATGCATATAGTTATAAGGCGCGAAAGTGACAATAGTTCTTGGTACTTTGTACCCCCCTAACAATGGCGTCCACTTAGCTCAACGTCCGCCGGAAGACGAAGCTTAATGTGTTTGATCAGGACTATCGGGTCATCGTCATATATGAATCGTCGCCAAAACGCGTGTATAGCTCGCATTCAAGAAAATTCGATATCCGTTTTGTCAGGTTGACTCACGTTTTACCGCAGATATCATTTTGGACACCCTCCACGCTTTTATATTTTATATTGAGAAAAAATATATATCGATTATCTCTTTCTGGAGAAAAATGATACTTGTGATATCCTGTGTGTGGGTGTGTGTGTGTGACTTCACGAGAGAACTTGACGATATAAAAGAAATATCCTTTTCACTTTTTTTTATATATATATATGGTACATTTGATTCATTTTTTTATTTATTTATTGTATTTACACTGAAATGCTATTTCACTTCCTGTGTTGAATTAGAAAAATGTTCAATTCTTATCGCCTTCTGATTTTTTCATCCTCAATACTAATTTAAAATATAAATCTAAATTTTAACCCACCCTGCGAAGAGAAACTGAATTTCGAATGAATTTTAGCCCTTTATAGGATAATTCTATAAGCTTAAAAATTGAGATAAACTTATTTCGAGTCAAAAAATCGGATTTAGATTTTAAAATGTAAACGAAGTCGGAGTTTGTTTTTTTCTGTGAAATAAATAAGAATTTTCATTTTAAAAAAATTACAACTAATAAGAAAATAATGTATGTTTTCAGGTTCGTTGATGATATAACAAGAACGAACATGAGAAAATGACCATGAGGGAATTCATTCAAATCAAATATCTATAGGTAAGAATTTTTAATATAAATATAACATTTAATTTTATTAGTTATATGACAAAAGTTTGATTTACTCTCTAAATTTGAATTAGTAGAAAGCCAGCTACTACTTCACATTAGTAAGAATTTTTACTAATAGTAGTAAAATATTACTTGATTTAGTAGTTTAAAATTTGTTTTCTGTTTTAGTAAAAAGTGACTAAAAATTAGTGAAAATTTTTACTATACTTTAAACTAGTCTAGCCACTTTTCAGTTTTCACTAATTCAGCTTTAAATTAAAATTTTTTATAATTTCTTATTCCGCTAAATACTCTCTAAATTTGAATTAGTAAAATTTTTTTTAACTAATTTGAATTAGTGACTCACTTTTTGCTTTTGAATTAGATAAATTTTTACTAATTTGATAGTAAAAAGTTTGTTCCTTTTTTTTCACTATTTATTAATTAAATTTTACTAATTCCAAAGAAAAAAATTACTAACTTAAAGTAGTTAAAATTTTTACTAATTCAGATTTAGAGAGTAAATGTTCAAAATTTAAAATTTCGATTCGCTTTAAATTGTATTTATTATATCAATATGAATTGATCGTAGCAAAAGAAAACATAATAAATTGAATCAGAATTGAAGTTTATTAACGGGAAAAAATTCACCCCTTTTCAACAACTCATCTCGTAAAGTAGAAACCTCAAAAATCGTATTTTCCGTCGGGACTGCCGGAAAGCTATATTTGTGTGTGTGTGTGTGTATATATAGAGGAAAGGGACTGGAGTCCATTGATTCGCGTATCATCGTAATTTCACGGCGCGTTACCTACGCGAAATAACTCGGGGGACGTCGTCGGCGCATCCACCTTCGGCTTTAAACAAGCCACGAAATTGGTTTACTTTTGAGTCAGAAGTTGAAGCCATCTCTCTCTCTCTCTCTCTCTCTCTCTCTCTCTCTCTCTCTCTCTCTCTGAGCCTCTCTTTTAGTAAAGAGGAATTGGAAGGACGAGAGAGGGATGGTGAGTGCGAGGGGATATCGTTTCTGTGGAGCGAGAAAATTGTAGAGAGCCGGATGCATACTGGGAAATAAGAGGGTGGGTTTTTGGGGGCAGAAGCTTGAATTACGCTACCCTGAAACGACAAGGCCAAGCAAAAAACATCGAGCCTAATTTCGGCTCCCTCCCTCTCTCTCGATTCGTTTATTTTTTTTCTTCCTGATTCTCTCTCATGCGCGCTTTCGACCAGGGAATTAACCTTTTAAATTGACTCACCTATATATATATATATATTTGGTTCGCTATAGAAATTGCTTATCCCGTGGACCCTGTTTCATCGAAAATCAAACTATATTACAATCGACTACTGACGAGTCACATTTCTTTCGTTGTGACCATCCGGTTGGTAGTTACATGTATGATTGAGTAGCTTTTTTTTTTAAAGAATCATCATTTTTTTGCTTTTAAGTCGATTAATTCATTGTTGAATTATTGTCCTTTTGTAAATGGGATAATAAATTAGGTTCAATTTTAAAAATAATTGAATTATATAAAATTGTTTCTTTTTTTTTTACAATTTCCAGGCGTTCGATTCTTGAGGGAAAGATGAGGTGTTTGTTGCGGAGCAGCTCCTGGAGGAGATCTGGTATTGCTGAGTCGCGGTTCAATGTATGTTGATTAATTTTTTTGGATTTGATTTTTGTATTTTAAAAATATGATCTATATTTAATATTGTTTTAAATATCTAAAAAGAAGTTATTTAATTTAATAATTGTTTAATTTACTGTTTTATTTTACATTGCCATCATAATTTTTTAATAATTTATAGGGTGAAAAAAAATCGTTCATTTGAACGTTCAAAATTTTTGGTTCATTAAGATTTAATCATGTTTAAAATATTAGGATATAGTCATATAACTATATAATAATACGTGACGCGTCGCAAAGAAAGGGACCTTAGAAGAAAACTATAGGTTATGTGTATAACAGCAGTTTTAGCTTGATTAAAAGTTTCGTGCACGTTCGCTTAAAAATTTCAAAATATGTAACCTATAATTTTTCGTTATTCTAAGATTTCTTTCTTCGCGACGAGTCACAAAAAGTATTAACAATATTCAATAACAGTGAAATAGTTTTTGAATATATTTCAAATTCTTTTTTAGAAATATCAATAGTTTAAAAAAACAATTACTAATTATTTATTATTTTATTGTTTCAGGCAATTGGTACAGAGGGAAAATTCATCTGTTTGAAGAAATGATATGTATGCTGTCATCGTATTTTTTGATAAGAAGAAAAAGAAGTTTTGTAAGTCTATTTGTGGTTAATTTTATATAAAATTAAAAATTGAAATCGAAATTTTTACTGTTAAATATTTTTTTGGATTAAAAAGTATATATTTTCTTTTAGTTTGAAACTATATTTTTTTCAAGGGAATTTGTTATTCTTTTAAAGTAGGCTTTTGTTTTATTGTAACATATATATATATATATATATTTTGTAAATAATTGTATTTTTTTATTTTTTCAGACTATACAAATAACAACATGAAGGACAGGAAGGATGTGGACGAAGAAAAACGGTCCCAGCATGTTGTCAAATTTTCCAAAAATAGTCTTTTATTTTATTTTTTTTTTTTTGCTTGGCAACATCGCTCTCGATCTGCGCAGAAGTGCAATCAAGAAGCAGAGATCTTCGAGAGTGACCACAAGAGGAAGGAGGAACAAATGCAAACCTTGTTCCAACGTGGGATATTCGCCGACCGATGAGTCGTTTTTTATTATTGAATTATTATTTACTATTATAATTATTGGACTCTCATTAACACACTCACATATCCACTGCGTTAGGGTTATAAAAAATTGGGTTTTCTAAAATATGCGGTTAGGTATAGGAATTACTTTTTTTTTTGTAGGAGTTTAACATTTTTCCGTTTTAAATATAGTTATAGGTAGGAAAATCGTGAATTTGTTATTCCTATGTGAGTGTCGCATAAAGTAGAGTACCAATGATTTTATTGTTTCTCAATATGTGGTATTAAATATTGCTTGTTTAATTGATTATTCTTTTCAGTTGAATCATCGGGGTGAGAAATAATATTTTTTTTATTATCTTTTCAATTTATAATATAATCATGTTTTGTATTTTTAAACAAAATAGAAATATCCAATTACCGTCATCATCATCATCATCATCATCATCTTACAATTTCATTCATCCTTGAATGAAGATGTCTGCTCCTGGATGTTTCGAGTTTTATCACCGCTTTGTGCCTCTTTTTCGAAATGTAAGTGTTTATTTCTATTCATCAAATTTTTAAATTAGAAACAATTGACAAAAAAATTACTGAAAGGATCGTACCCTAGAAAACTCTTTGAATTATTTTAGAATTCCTGAATTTCACTTTTGTTAAATATACTACAGATATTCACAAACTTATTAACGTGTAAAATTTTTACTGACAACTGCAGTAAAATTTTTACAGCACTGAGATTTTATTTATTAGTGTGAAATAGTTGATTAGTCATTTAGTAGGCAAAAAAATATATTCGGTTTTTTTTTTCTGTAAAATAAGTCAATAGAAAAAAGTTTCGTTAGTTAGTAACTTGTTTTCTGCTTTTTTCGAGGCATTTTCACTTTTAATCATGTTTGATGATCTGTTTTCAAAAAAAAAAAAAAAACAAGAAATAAGTTTTATTGAGATATTTATGGATATTCCTGTTTTCATAAGAGAATTACAGTAAATCTTTTATTAATTCAAAGAACGTCGAGGGTCAAATGTCGCAATCTTTTTGAGGGGGGCCCGAAATCTTGCGGTTGAATCGCTGACGCACCGACGTACATTTATATGTATTCTTGTATATATAAAGAAAATGGAGGAGCGTTTCATCTTAAATCCCTTAGCCCTTCAACCCTCAACCAATAGAGCTCGTAAAATCAAAGTTCCGACCCCTGCGAAGTAAATCCCAAACATATTTTCGCGATGTTAGCGAATTCCCTCGTTTTGGCTTTTCTCCTTGTATACTGTATACACATATATATCGGTAACTGACCGCTAGAGTATTCCCTCATATGGTCGCGCAGGAAAACGTCCCAAGGGAAGTGTTATCACAAGGTCTTTTCAGGATGACGTCTACTTCTGTCCCTGTTACGCGTGCTCATAAAATGAGATCGTGATTTAACGTCATTGGAGGTGGCAATAGTGTATACTAAAAAAGAAATATAAAAATGGATTTTTTTCTCATTTTATATTTAACTCGCTCTTTTAATTTGATTATCATCAAATTTCTCGCAATTTTTTTTTCTTTCTTTTTATATATATAAATATCAGAAAACTATATTCTTTATAGAAATTGTTTTATTTCAAATATATATTAGGATATCTTTTTGAATAAACTATTTTCTCGTATAAAATTTAATTATTAGGAATTACTAAATAAATAGTAATATTTTACTAAAAATTTGTATACTCATTTGAATTAGTGAATACTCACTATAATTGAAATTTGGAGAATATTTTTGAAAAATATAATTTTTTAGATTATCAAATTCGGGGGAAATTGAGAAAATTTATTAATTTTATTGTAAATAGAAGCAATAGATGGATATTGAGGAAATGTAATTAAATTTTAGACAAGTAAATTTCGTATCAGTTCGAATCGTATATAATTGGATACTATGAACTTGATGTTTGAAGTTCGAAGGAAGTCGTAGTGTTATAGGTGGTAAACCAGTGCGTATCTATATAGTAGCCCGCGGGCAAAATTCCCATGGGTCCCATAACCGACCAACAGTCACCCTCTTTCGACCTATGCCCCCTTTTGGTTATCAGTTACTCCACCATATGCACGAATGTAAACTAAATTCTTTTTCATAATAATCTTTGTTTCTTTTTTTTTTTTCATTTAATAATTATTTTTATATTTTTCTCGTATCATATTCATTGGTTATTTTCTTTTAGAATTGTAGCATTCGATTCTTTTTATAAAATTTTATATTTATATACAAAAATTTGAAAAATAGTTTGTTGTATAATTTTTTATTTGATGCCATTAAAATTCATAATGCTTGCAACGATGAATATAAAATAAGAAAAAAAGAAAGAAAGAAAAAAACAAATTTGATGTTGATCGCGAAAGTAAAACTGAAAAGTCTCTTTGTATTCGTTCGACGATGACGACACTTGTGACATTTTCACGTGACAATATAAGAGAAACAAGGAACACGATGGGTTGACAAAAAAGAGAGAGAGAGAAAAAAAAAGACGATTCTTTCTGATTCCCAGTGCCGTGTTGGAAAAGACACGAACGCGCGATATTGCGTATACGTATTCCCGAGGGTTGGCGATGGTTATTTTTATTTATGAGGAAACCACCATGAAAAGGGACACTACACCCCAACTCTTGTTTTCACCCCCTTCTTCTCAGAATCCTCAGGGATTTTCACAACCTGTGTTTCCTCCAACGAATCTGCTTAATCGGTAATTGCTATTTTTCCTTCTCGAGAGAAAATGATAATAATCAAGTTTTGTCATTAATCATTGGAACCTTATTAATAGCATTTCGATTAATATTAATTGTTTCGCGTTATTATTTTATTGTTATTACTATTTTTTTTTGTTATTATATTATTCCTATTTTTTATTATTATTTATTATTATTTTTATTATTATTTTACTATTATTTAATTGTTATTATTTTTTTTATTTTTTTTTATTAATATTTTATTATTTTGTTTATTTTGTAATTCTTGTTATGAATTTTGTTATTTTTGGATAATCAATATTTATGTTTTTTTTTTTTTTTTTTTTTTTTTTGAATTATCAATGCTTATGCTTAAACAAAAAAAAAAAAAATAAGCTTCAGAATCGTTTCGGTTGCTTTAATCTTCTTGGTACACTCGACTTCCCGGACTCCGTCTCGCTTGACGAAGTCACGAGATAATAGACTAATTAATTCCGTCGCTAATTGCCAACGACTATATGACCGTATCACGGCTAATTGGTTTGAGTTATTGTACTAGGCTTTCGACCTGCGTTTTTGTTTTCAGCCTGAAACCCACAGTACATACTTTTTTTTAAAAACTTCAATTCAATGATTTCATTAAGAAATATATCAAATTATTTTTTTGTTTCTTTCAACGATATTTCGTTTGAAAGACATAGTTTACTCGTTAAAAGAAAAAAAAAATAATACAAGTGTACACAATAATACAAAATAATTATATAAATTAACTGTAATTAATTGTATAAGTATAATTAATTAAAAATTGTGTTTTTAAATAGATAATATTTTGATTGAAACTACAATATTTTCATTTGGGTTTTTAAAAATTACAATTTGTAGATAGATATTTTTTTTTCATTGTGAGCTTTGCGTGAACTAATTATTAAAAAAGAAACGTGGGAATAATTATATGTTGTGAGAATATTTTTCTTATCTTTCTAGTTCTTTTTTTTTTCTTTATAAATTTTATTTCTTGGTCTATTTTCTTTTTTAAAGTGTGATATCACTTAGTCTCTTAGGTCGGTGCTTTTATCGTTCGGTGTTATTGTCATTATTATTGTTTTACACGTATACATTCAAAAGGAATATAGTGTATATACATGTATATAGAAAAAGATCCGCCGTGTTTTGCAAGGTTCGCGTGTCCGTAATGGCCTCTTGGCCAATTACGATGCTAGAAGCCGGTAACAAGACGCTGCTTAAAAATAATAAAAAATATAAACTTGGCGCGATTAAGGCCCACTTTGAATTACAGCGCACTATTCGTATTCCATTACCGTGCACGTCAATCACTTCTCTTTAGTTATGTATATAGCCTCTAGGGATTTCTTTGACAAAACTTTTCGTTGACAATTTATCCATAATATACATTGAGAAAAAATATCACAACACTGTTTAAATACAAAAAAAAAAAAAATTGGAACATATTTTATTTTTACTTTTTTATTAATTTTCCTCTAAAAATAAAAATATTTCACAACAAGATATAATTAGAAAAAAATTTTCTTTGATTAAAGGCAATATATATAGACTTGACAATGAATTAGTATACTCCCCCCCCCAGTTATATTGGTAAATTAAAGAACGTGTGTACGATGCAAAAAGAATAAATTGGTAGCACATCTCTCTCTCTCTTCTGTGGTGGGTTAGTGATCGTTGCGGTAATAGGTTTTTGGAGTGTGGCAAATCGAAAGTCAAAGACCTGGTCCGTGATCCGCGTGTAATTCGTCCTCCTCTATATGTACAGGGTGACTGGTATCGGTTTTATGGGGAAGAGGGAGGGGGTGGCAATGAAGCAGCCCAGGGGCTGAAACGTCGCCATCTATCGTTCTATTTGTTAGCAGGCTTAGCAAATCACCCCAACGAGCTTACTGGATGCTTGGAACACGAGGGTGCTAAGCCTCACTTTGAAATAGTCTCTCGTGCGATATCGCTGCTAATTTTCCACCCACACACAACACATAACATCTTTGCATCTAGTTACAGTGGAAAAAATAAATTTTTCTTCATTACATAATGACAGTTAACATAAAATCATATAAAATACTTTTTTTTCGAGAAAAATATATTTTGTAGTTTTATACAGTGATTGGAAAATATGTGTTTTTCACACATACAAGAATTAACATATTTTTCTGACTTAAATGGGATTTTACTACTAATACTAAAAGACGTTTGATTAAAACTGACTTTTACTACTGATTTCAAATTTATTGAATTTATAAGAAGCAAGAATTTAATCCGTTTTAAGAGAATAAAATCACAAGAATTTAAAAAGTACAATTACTTCTGACTTTCATTACTGATACATAAATTACGAGAATTTGAAATGTCTGACTATAAATGACTTTTACTACTAATATTAAATTAATAGGAATTAAAAACTAACAAAAAACTGTCTTTTACTACAGATACAAAAATTATAAATGGGTGGCGTTTGTAACTATTTTAAACAAGAAAAAACGAGAATTTAAAACCTGTCTGACTACTATTGAACTTTACTACTTGTGAATAAATTACTAAATTTGAAACGACTGCAACTTACTAACGATATATATTGACAAGAATTACAATTACAATTACATTATTAACAAAAATTACACAAACGTCTGACTTAAACTGACTTTTACTACTGATACAAAATTTACAAGAATTTGTCAAGTCTAAATTGTCCTTTTTCTGAAAATATAAATTACAAGAATTTGAAACCTCTGACTTTTACAACTTTTAGTACTTCTACTGTCTTTTACTACTGATATAAAATATACACGAATTAAAAATG